TCTCAGAAACCACTTTCAGTTCTTCGCTGCTTCAGTATCTATTCTATAAAGCCATCCGCCCTAACAGAAAGAAAGTTGTTTCTTATATTGTGTCCCTTGCTTTTTTATTATTGTCATCTTTATGGAATGGGCTGCAGAATGTATCTGATGGAATAAAAGAAGATTATTCCTGGAACCACATTCCTGCTTTCCCTTTTGCAAGATCCTAAAAATATAAGCAAAAAGAAAATAAAAATTAATACTTTCTGCAACAAAAACAAAACTCCCCTTTCTTTTTCAGTGCAAAAAGACTTTATATAAATGGCATCTTGCAACTCAGTGTCAATCACTGTGTCTTACTTTCAGTTCAATTTACTTGCTTACAGAATGATTGGGTTTTTTTATCAACCCGACCAAGACATCATGGAGCTTGAAAATCAAACAGCCTTCTTTTTGCCATGATGCATCACTGGCAAGAGGAATGTCCTTGCTGACAATATTTTGCTGTCACATTTGCCTCTACAGCTTCACTGCCTTCTCTGTGATCAATGAAAACAGATTTTGACCTCATCTATTTCATTTCAGACCATATTCTGCCCTGAGGCACATGAGTACAACCTATCATAGTTATAGTGGCAATTGGGGCAGAATTTGTTCCTTTCCTGACAATTCAATATGTGATTCATGAACCAGAATTGAATCCAGCTCTCCTTTCCTAGAGCTCCTCTGGTTCTTTGGCATTAGCATCAGTAAAAAAAGAAGCAAAGATGAATTTATGTTGGTCATATCAGCAGAACTGCCTGGGTAGTCAATAATCAGACTGCTCGGCAAGATGCTACCTGACCAAAAGTTAGTTACTGTATTTTATTTAAACAGCTTATTCTGTACTTTGCTTGCTTGCTTGCTTGCTTGACTTTTCCCTGTGTTTTTTAACTAATGGGATCGTAAGACCTGGAAAAACACCTCCTAGTCTTGAACATTTCTAATTGGCTTAATAAAGCAAACAGAAATAAACATAATCCTCTCCACAACCATCACCTTAAAAAACATACCCATACTACTAGATGTGGAATACACAGTGTATTCACAGGGTGTGCGGTTGCAGCACTAACTGGATGATCAAGTTTCCCATTAATCCCCAAGACAATGGACCACTTTTGAAAATACAGGCTCCATTTCTATTCATATGACCCAAAGTGCCAACACCTGTATACATTCTTTCATACAACTAACTGCACAGCTGAGGCGAACACACTTCAGCACACACGGTCCAAAATGGACGCACAGGAATGCCCTCGGATGTGCAGCACTCCACTGACCGACCTATGCTGTGGGGCACTCCCTCTGCACAAGCTACAGAAGGAGGAGGGTCTGCTTGAGACCACCTTCGGAGCGTTGGCGCTTCAGAGCCAATAACAGGAGCTCATTTTGAACCCTGGAGGTCCCCAGTGTCTCCATGTCTCACTCAAGATGACAGGCCTCACATGCATATATTGTATTATAATTTTCTGCAGAACTCAGTTCCCAAGCAGAGGAAAGGTTGACATCACTTTGAAAACCACATCTAAGACATGTAATGAACTGCATACAGGAGACTAATCTATAGTAAATTTGATGTACAGTAAAAATAAACTCCTTAATATAACAAAAGCACTAATCAACATATTGCATATTAGGCCTGCAAAGCACCAATTACCTGATGAAGAGAAGTAATGTGCGATAGTTACAGTTTCCTCAGCTATTTAACTATTTACGTCAATGGAAGCCAAGGAAAACAATGCCTACAGAACCACACATGAAAACTCACATGAAGGATTTCAGCCAAGATTTGAGTTTAGATTTGAACATAAGGAGAAAAAACTATTCAACAACAAAACAACAAAAATAAAGGTCACGACTTCCAAATCCTGCTGCATCTTGCTACTGTACTGGTTATGAGAATACAATTTTTGGAAGCAAATTATTTTAATTTCCCTTACCATTTAAGAAAAATGCATTCAAAGCAAAACACTGAGCCTGATCCTGCCCTTCTGCAACCCCATCAATAACAGCCTTACCACACACTAGAGTGAAGAAGGATTTATGCTTTCCCATGGGCCATGCTCTGAGTTCTTAATTCAACACCATATTCACTAACTTGTTCAGTGAGATTAGCTGTGGTTTCAAGTGTTATTCACTCAGGCAATGGGTCTACAAACACCCTCTTGCTCTGTATTGCCAGACCAAAGAAGATATGAATAATTTGGGACACATTACCAAAGGCTCAGAGTATCTTCTGTGGGGTTTTCTTTGGAGCGAGAGACCTTCCTGGGTGTGAAAATTGGCCTTGTAATGAAATAAATAGAACTCACTTCTCTTCCTTTCCTTTTTTTAGGTAGCATGACCTAAAAAAGGATTTGCAAACACACTTGGAGAGGAGAGAGAGACCTTGTGTCTATTGGATTTTTGTTTATTTTCTGCAGTTATTACAGAGAGTTTCTCAAAATTCTCAAACATCTGTGAATCTTATAAGGTTCATCTTTTCAAAGTGCAATGTGTCGAGCTTAAATTTCTTTTACTTCTTAGTATACTTATTACACTTACTGCAAACTATCCGAATGACCACGCAGTGTTTTAAATGGGGCTGCAAATATCCCTTGGATCACCATCAGCAAAAAGCTTCTCTTCCTAAAGGAAAGTAAAATCCAGCACGACTTTTTGATCTACTGTTTGCTATTTTGTAAAACTGCAGGAAAACTTCTGCCTTAAAGGCCGAGCCCTGCTCCTTCGGCACTGAACCAGACCAAGAGGGGTCTGTCTGTGTGCCGCACCGGAGTCGTGCTTGGAGGCAGAGCACGCCGAGCCTGCCAGAAGTGCTGATTCACTGCAGACACCAAAGAGGCTGCTTAGTAGCTAAGCTGGGGGGCAAAAAGATGGCACAGAGGAGAGGTATCTTCATCAGTGCAAATAAATAAACAGGAGGGAATGCCAGAGCTGTTGCAGAGAGTGGATTCCCCGAGACCTCTGCTTAATACATGCGTGTTAGTTCGCTTATTGGAACAAAACCTGTTAATACAGCTCTAGCCATAGGGGGGAAAAATACTTGCAAATGCACAGAAGTCATGTAAATCAGAACTGCTGCTCTATTTTACAAGAAAATTTCTCCATTAATAATTTCATGACTTAGAGCAAATGAGCATGGTTGGAAACAGGGGACCCTGCTGATACTAATCTGAAGGCATAGGATACTTTCGTTTCTCTCTCACATATATACCAGACATACTCCCTTGGCTCAAATCCGGGTGTGGACTAGGTGCTTTTGTGGCTAAAACACCACCTTCTAATTTGGTTAAGTCTACTAGTAACTTTTTTTGGTTTGGAGTTGCAAAATGTTGCATCAACCCCCCAGGATTTTAAAATCCAAATTCTCAGAGCTGTCACATTTATAATTAGAACGATCTGATACGACTGGCATTAGTGTGAGGTAGGAACATATCACAGAGGGCCAAGCAGACAAACTAAAATATTTCTCACCGTTAGAAAGGGAATTCTTCCAAGTAGAAATGTCAGTTGAGTCACAAGGGCTCTGTGCAAAAGTAGCACCTCTTCATCCTCATACCTACTCTTAGAAAGTCCTGCACTGTTGCTTAACTTAGTCCAACAGACCACACCACCTACCAAAGCCCTGACAACAGCCCTGGCTCTCTGTGTTAAACCCAGATTCTCCTCTGAGTAGAAAATAACTTTTCTCTAAGTGCAGGTTGTTTCGGAGCTACCTGTAACGCCCCCAGCCCATACACAAAGTCAACATGTTCATATTGCATATAAAAAGAGATGCCCCCAAACTGGAAAAAATGAGGTTTGATAAAATGCCTTGTCACAGAATCCCTGGATGCAGAGACAGTTGCAGCAGATCTTTATGTGCTGCTGAAAGTACTTTTCAAGTTGTTTACCTCCATATTGGAGAAGGAGAAAAAGGAAGTAGGAAAGGAAGGGAAGAAAGGAGGGAAGGAGGAAAGGAGGGAGGGTACACTATTGTAGCTACTGAATCAGCAAACAAATGAGCAAGAGACAAAACGAGAATGGCTGTAAGGAACCTGGCACCATCAGCATGTTGAGTGAAACAATAAAAAAGAGCCTGGAAGAAAAGAGAAACACTGAATGCAGATACTAATTTTTCCTTTTCTTTTTTTTTTTTTTTCTGGAAGAGGATTTATGATGCCAGATTTCAGTTGCCTCTTAATAACAACACCTGGCTAAATACAAATGAAATTAATTTTACAGCTGCAATCTTTCCACATTTTGCACATGGTGATTTGCTGAAAGAAACCCTATCACAAGGTGTCAAAAAGGAACATAAAACATAACATGCAATATTTTTTGAGAGACATCAATTGTAATTATATGAAACCTAACAAAGCTGCTCCAGGGAGAGGTGGATAGAGTTGCACAGCAGAGAGCCTGGCCCGCCATGCAGATGGCAAAGCTCTATGCAGGCAAATACAGTGGGAAGGCCACAGGGGCTCACATGTATCAAACAATAACAACAATGTGTCTCTTCCTTCTGCCATCAGGTCACTGAAACCAGTGTGAAAGTGGCATGGAGATAAAAATGCTATGGTCAGGTATTAGGTTAGAACTTCCTACATGACCTGAAATTACAACCATCATCCCTCATACCTCTTACTTCCACATGACAACCCTCATCCCATATCCTAAACTAAATCACTGGTCTCAAAAGTTTTACTAGCACAGTATGTGTTGTTGCACTCTTCATCCAATGTATTTAGTTTTTCTTGAAAATCAGCAGAAACTGATCTGTAACACAGACATGGTATTAAAGCACACTTCTGACTAGCACTGTACCAGTGCTGTGTGGAAAGCAGAGATGGCTCCTCCAAGAAAATATGAAAAATTTCTGAATACTACATCTGAGAAGCAAGATGTGATACTTATTTCAATGTTAGGACAGGAGTAGTTTACCTGCTCCTTCCTCTCCTTACCCCATGACCAGACTGGAAAATTTTTCTGTTTCACTGCTTGGGAGAATGAAAGATGGTGCTGTCCTTTAGTCTCTGTACCACACCTACAAAATACATTTCCAGGAAAGTAGTATTTTCTGTGTTGCTTTCTGGTGGTGAGGGTCATATTATTAATGCATTTGGCTCACCTTCCTGCAACCAGGCACGCATACAACAGGAGAGGAGACCTGCAAAATGGCCACAGCTGTCCTAAGAAAGCATCAGGTCCTTTAAAACACAAAATCCACAATTTCATGAAGTGGGTCAGTGCTGAACAAAAATCTTCTTTCTTGGAATTAAAATAGGCAAGTTGCTTTCTGGTATTTCACCTGACTCATATTATCACAAACATGATACACATTTAACTATGTTATAGCACCAAAAGGTCCCACTTTTTTAGATTTTGCTCTTCTTTGAAACTACTAGGCTCTACACTGGCATGAACACGTGGAAAGATATTGCCCTTGTGAGAAAGCAAAATAGTATACCAGCTTTCCTGGATAAACTAGGGGTAAACTATGAAATGTGAACAGATGTCTTTTAAACTATGAAGAATGACAACCAATTTTTGAAAATACGCTGAAGAAAACTCTTTGTAAGGTTTGGTTTTTTCCTTGCTTTGGTTTTCTGTATTAACACTTGGGCTTGCACTCAATATTAATCCCTCCCATATTTCTCAGCTCTTGTGTAGAAAACACACCACAGTCCTACAGCTGCGGCATTTCGAAGTCTGCACAACATGCTGTACATGCCATTGGTTGACATTTTATTGACAACAAAGGCCCGCAGCACAGCAGTGCTTTTAGAGATGGGATTAACATAATGAACTCTATCTTCATGGCTTTTTCATGGCATTTCTTTATATAAAAGAGTGAAAAAAGGCTCAAACCAGAAACAAACATTTTTTTCCTATTCTTTTAGGACACAGTCCCCTCTGAAATAACTGTACACTCCTAAAGGAGAGAAGAAGTCTTTAAATAAAGGAACACATTTGTACTTGTAAGAAGAACGTAACTGCTGAAGAACTATGGGGAAAAAAAAAGTACTGACCTTTCTGTGAGGCAAGAAGAGCTCAAGTGTGGGGCCTGCACTAGTACAATATTATAGCTGATTGAGTAAACTCCATCATGAGATAGTAACATGAACGATGCTGTGACCTCCTACCACGCAGGGACAGGCTGAAACAATTTTGCAGCAATGCAAAACACCAAGGTTTCAAAATTCTTAAAACTACATGTACAAAATCCAGCAGGTATTGCTTTAAGTCTGTCCCAAGTCAAATGGTCCTCATGCATGAGCAATACGCACAAACACAGCCACTGAACCCAGTCTAGGTTTGCCAGATGCCCCGCCCATGTTTGCAGGATAGTCCCAAACACAGGAAAGAGAGTAGCACCCTGAGCAGGAATCAGCAATTTTGTCTGCAAAGCTCTGATCCTCCCCTCTTAAAGCTTCAAGAAAACTCTTCAATGAAAAAGTTCTTGGCAGAGTTTTCATCTGTTCTTGGCTGGACTCGCTAGCCAAGTCTGAAGCACACAGAGATCTGGTTTATTTTTGTCCTAGTACGGGAGTAAAACCCCACAATATTAATGTTTTTTACAGAATGAAGTGGAGCAATCACACAGACATCAGGCCAGCTTGAATGTAATTGCTAAAAAATTAATTTAGACAATTAGGAATTATAGTTTCTGACTTTGCAAATTTTCTTTCTTTTCTTTTGGTCTGTCCCTTTCTGAAGTCCTGCATCCCAGCCTTCCTTTTAGTAGCCTTCTACAAACACATGAAAAAACTACCTATGTATCTACATGAGGAACTTATTCAGCCCCTTTAGTGGGTGACAACAGAAGAATATGGCAATTTGGTATGAACTCAAACTGCAATTTAATCAAATTAATGTTGCAAAGGTGCCTTAGTAAGAGATCAAAGTAAAAAAAAATGACTGTAAAAAAAATCACAGTGGCCAGCAATTGCAGCAAAAACCTGTTTGCAGCTGAATTGCCAGCAATAAACTAAAACATTATATCCACTTAGAAATTAAAAGGTGCAAACTAAACATGCAAACTGCTTACAAAAATGGGGCAAATTATCCTGGTCACTGCGGAAGTAGAGGGTGTTCAGCAACTTTCCTAAAAGTTCTGTCAACTTGCAGAATCATAACTCAATTTCTCTATGAAGTTCTGAGATCCTGAAAACCAAACACATTTGCGGACCATATCCAATCCCTCCACCCTGGTTCACAACCTTTGTTTAAGGAAGACAAGTAATCTGTATTGTGAAAAAAGGCTGTGCTCATTTTCCTAACGTACTTTCCTGTGACTTTCACCCTCAGTTATATAAGAGTGGGAAGCATGGACAATTCATTCTTAATGCTAGCTCAGTCCTGGCCTCTCCTGGGCACTGGCTGAAAATAATACTAAACCATGCTGAATCATTTACAGTAGCTTTATGATGTGGATTATCATTCAGCAAGGACTGACTTGACCTCATCACACTCATTTCATGCAGCAATGCAGACTGGACTCCAACCAGAGTCTAACAAATGCCACCCACATTTGGCACCAACACAAGTCATGCATTCATGTAGAAGGCTCACTCGTAGAATAAAACTGCTTTAAATTTAGTCTTGAACTAAACTTTCAGTAATTGTCATATCCTTGCCTCTTCTGTCAGCATGGGCAGTGCTTTAAAACTGTAAGCTGCTCAGACATATATGCAGTTTTTTGTTTCAAGCAGCTTCCCTACTCTTATTTTCAGAAGGGTACTAGCCATTATGAGAAAATATTTTGTTAATCAATGCTTCCAGCAGTCACACAGATTTATAATGCCTCTGCTAAAATAATGGTCCTTTATTCTGCTTCTTCCTCTAGACAGAGATTCTGGTCACAAGGCACGGGAACAATTTACCTCCTCTTAGACACAAGAGATACTGTGCTACAACACAATGCAAAAATGTGAGCTCCTCAGTCATGCAGAACCTGGTCATATGGCTGCCCACTGAATTCCTTCTCTTTCCACCATCATAAAAGGGAGTATAAGATGCTGTTGCCATTTATATTCCACTGATTACACAAGCTATTTTCATGGCAGGACTCTGCTGTTGCATTCCATCTCAGAGGCTGAACAGATTGAGCTTTTTTAGTGGATTCTATTAAAATAGATGTTGGTTCCAATAGGACAAATTCATCAGGTAGGGAGCTTTTACAATGAGTCATTTTAAGGTAATCTTTGTACACATGCTCTTCAAATAGCTTGAACTCTTTGAATGATAAAAGTACACAGAAACAATAGTAGCTGTGAGTGGAGAAGAAATGTTTTAAAAGCTGGTTTTGTTAAATGTTAAACCAGGAAACGAAACTCTGATTTTAGACTGGATTTTTCTATGTGTATTCCCATCCTTACTGATTTCTTTCTAGTATTAAAACTATGGGAAACAAAGGTTTTAATTGCAGGACACTTTTATTTTTACTCATAAACTGTCACTATCAATCATTTATGTTTTCTAGTGAACTCCTACACTAAATAAAAAGAGAATATAAGAATAAATCTTTGAAAAGGAATCAATTTGCTGCACATCAATCCCTGCAGGCCATGTGCTCATAAGTCAATAGTTTAAAATGAAAACATCTGATCAAGGTAATACACCTGTTAAAAGAGCATAAAATTCCAAACCCAATGGTAAAATATAAAGATTATGAAGCCTCTTAAAGGAGCCATCAAAGTAAACTATTACACAGATACATCTGCTTCATACCAGCACCTGCTCCATCAGTGCCACTCACAATAAATGAGCACTAGGACAAACATTTCATAGAGCATCTGCAGAAAATATTTTTTTCCGAAAGTAATTCAGCTCAAGAAAAGAAAAAAGTAATGATTTAGCACTGCATGTGCTTTCTAATAAAGTATCTCCAAGCAACAAAAATATTAATGATCTGAGCTCATCACAAATCTGCGCATTAGCAATTTATCAGTCATTTTTACAGACGGAGCAACTCCAATACACGATAGGCAGGGTGAAGTGACCAGCATGTTTGAGTGTGTTGAGAGCTGGGCTCGAGCACACTCCAAAGCTCACAGGGAATCAGTACTATCACTGCTACTATGAGTATTACTATTACACAGTTCAACCACTTGTTCTCTTTTTTCTACCTCAGCGGCTCTAACTTTTGCAGTTTTGCTGGAAGAGGAAATAAATCCCCTCACCAGCACAGGAATCCTTGCACTTTTCCAGTGTGTCATTTCCCCCCCTTCCTTCTCAAGCAATACAAATCCCACATGGAAACTCTCTGCCAACATACTCACTTATGCATGTGCTGTTGGTAGAGCCAAGGGAATTTTTGTTTCTCTTTTGTTTCCCTCCTTTTTTTTCTTTTAATTTAAACAAAGCGTGTTCATGGCTACATCTGAGGGACTTTTGAGCCTCTTTCCAAAAGCTTATGGGCCTTTTGAGTCTCAGTTGTAATTAGTCTCAACCATGTTTTGTAGTGCTTGTGATCTCAGTTGGTTTTGGCCATGAGTTAAAAATGGAGGGAAGGGTTGGTACCTGGTTTTCCTTCTCCAGACTTTCTCCACCCTTCTCACTTATTTTTATTTTTCTGAGGTTTTGCAGACATGAGAGGACATGGTTGCATATACAGGGCCAGGGGAGCAGCACAATTTCTCCCAACACCTGGCTCCCAACCAAACCAGCGGTCAAATCTCCTCTGTCTTCACAGTCCCGGGAAAGGCTTTCGCAACGGTGCTAACACACATTTCACACTCCTGCATCTTCCCTTCATGCAAAAGAAAGCTGATTCCAATATCTAAACTTTATATCACCCTGGTCCCTGCCCATGGATGCTGCTGGGGGGCACAGGGTGCCAGCAGGCAGCTCCCAAGGGGTCACAGAGTGCCTCCCGCCCAGCGGCACAGGGACCCACATGAGGAGATAAGTGTGAACTAGAACCCGCCAGTGTTTCCCTTTATGCTCCAGAGGCCACTGCTGTTAACTTTACCCTCCGCATTACCACATGAGTAATGCCACTCATGTGACCAGAATTTCCAGGTGCGGAATTTAAATTCTTTGCACCTTTGACTTACCTCATGAAGGAGAGACGCCATGGCCCCAGCTGCCTCAGCCTGCCAGAGACCACAGTCCTTCACCAGGAACCCAAGCTTTTTCATCTGGGACCCTCAAAAAAGGGCATTTAACACATTTGTCAAAGTGGTTGAACAGTCAGGGCCACTGT